GCTAGTTGGCTTTGTTTTTGGCTATGATATATTATGATAAATCGCCAAAATTTTGGATCTCCTACCCATACTTTCTCTGTCCGTTGAGAATAAATATATTCACTTTTAATTTCAAATTTGTGGAGGCTGGGAGCCCTTTAAGGGCCTCCCAGTCTAAATTTTCTTAACGGTCAGAAATGTTGTTCTGGCTTTATGATCTCTCAATAGAGAGTATTATTATTTCATCCCTTTAAGGGATTTCTTATTTTCAAGATGTGGCCACTATCTGATTCAAATTATACTTAATAAAATCTAAATTTACATTCAATGATTTGCACATTATTTCCTGGAAACGTTATTGTTTTTATTCATTCAATATTGGCCTAAATGAACATTCATGTAAAACCACTATACAACCCTTGACGGCTAATGACGGGGAAGCAAAGTCTCCCCTCACCATACACCCCTAGTATTGTTCCGTGGCACCATGACAGCCCAGCTGTATGTCCATGAAATCCTGCAATCACATGTGTTGCCACTCATGCAACGACTCCTATGAGCCATTTATTAATAAGACAATGCTTGGCCTCATACAGCAAGGGTGTCACAAGACTGTCTCCATACTGTTACCACCCTTCCTTAGCCTGCCCGATCCCCAGATTTGTCTCCGATCCAGCATATCTGGGATCATTTGGGAAGGCGAGTTGGGCATTCCACGAGTTTGAACGAACAAATATGGAACGAAATGCCTCAAAACATCATACAGAACTTGTATGCCTCAATGCACGGTCGTATCGCATCATGCATTCGCGCTAGAGGTGGTTCAACGGGGTATTAACTCCTCCGTTCTTTTCCCTTTTTCTCTGAAATAAATTATCCTTTTTCTTTGATTTTCTAATTATTTACTTATCAAAGTAGTCATTACGCATGTAAAATTTCGTTTCATTTTGATATATATATGTAGTTATATATATATATATTCTTTTTTTCTTGGATTTCCTCTTTTTTACTTTCTGACTACTCTCATCCCTGCATAAAACTACGCTGTTATAATTAACGAATAATCCAGAGATATTCGATGAAATCGACAGAAGTATATCGTGTCAAAAAATGATTAATCAAATATGCGATCTATAACTCACTAGTCAAAATATCGTATTAAACGTTTCATAAAAAAAGCTAGTTTTGAAATGATAACTGAAATTTAAAATTCGTGTATCGTACTATCGTTTTAAATTTATAAGGTTTCTTTAAACCGCGTAGAATTCCATACAATAACCACACAAAAGTGATCGAAAATTAAAATAGATTTACTATAGAATCTGTGAATATTGAGCATTTCATGACTGTTTCCTGTTTACTCGTATATTCTCAAATTTCTCCTTATTTGTTGAAGAAATTTTTAAAAACAAATTGGCGATAAATATCGGCTGGTGGAAAATGTTTCTCATATTCCGCAACAACCAGTTGTGCAGTATGTTGAGTGTTAATAGTTTAAGTAGTTATAAATAATGGTTTAAAAAGTCTTTTTTAGATTAATATTTATATACATATTTTTTACTTCACACAGTAAGTGTTTATATTATTTCAAATTTTGAATTTCTCTTTTTGACTTAAATGATTATACATGATGTATCTAAACTTTATTTGTAGCCCAAAAAATGTAGCTAGTAAAGCCTCCGTTATATTTTTTTCTCCAATATTGGCAGGTATGATTGTGTTCAAAAGCTTTCTCAGGCTGCACATAAGCAGTCGGGGGGCCGCAGATTGTGCACTCCTATGGAAAAAAAGCATCCAAGTCTATTAACCTTTGTCAATACTTTTCAATTCATTCAAATGCTCACAAATAAAGATTTTAATTGATAAAAAAAAAGGACTCACTCCACTTTGAAAAATAAAAGCACATTTATTAAGGTTTAAAACTGATGGTCGCTAAAGCTTTTATTTTATTGTGCTCTTCGAAACAAGAGTTGTGACATCTCTGATATTTTTAATTTGATGTTTTCAGATCAATTATCGGCAGTTCCGGAACTCTCTTCATTGAACTTGGGTCCATTGTTTAAATCTTCTCTTCCTATTGAACTCACTGAGTCTGAGACTGAGTTTGTTGTTCGATGCATTAAACACACATTCACTCACCATGTTGTGTTGCAGGTAAGAAATCTTTTTGTAGTTTAATCAATCATTTCTCCTGGGACCATTCACTGTATTTTTTTTGATACAGAATAATACAGAAAATTCCTCATTGTTTCAAAGCGATTTAAAATATTCATTGTTGGCAATGGTGTTAGATCTGTACTTCCTCAGTTTTTGCAATACTACAAGTTTTATCAACTGATGCATAAACATCAAATGTGATGTTTGAGGCAATTTTCGGCAAATTATTATTTTTAAACTATTGGTATAATTTCTCACCCCCTGGCAGAATCGTGGCGGCATTGTCGCACAGCAATACCGAATTCTTGCAGAAAAAGTTTTCCTTTGTGAAGTAAAAAATTTTGATTTTCTTTTCTGCAGAAATTTTTGAAAGATTTTATCTCTTCTTCAGAATTATATTTTAAAGATGTCTTTCTCGTGCATCTAAGTGGGGTTAAAATGCTTGTGATTTTCTCTATTCTCATTTGAGAACAGTGAAAACAAATGAAGTAAAAAATTTTGTTTTCTTTTCTGCTGAATCCTATCTTTTATGCATTTATTACTATTAATTTTCACTTTGCTTTTAAAAACCAATATTTTTAATACGATATTATTTATTACAACTTCTGAATCTCAAAATGGAATNATCTGTCATCGAAAACATCCAAAATCCACGATGGTGAGAAAAGAGGTCTCATAAGATAATGTGGTGCGTCTACCACTACAGAAATACAATTTCAATTCCCTAGTATATAAGATATGCTACCTCGATTCCATTTTGGGGTATCTTTCCATAGATGAAGGTTGACATTCTTAATAACTCCTCTCCCCACATTGGTGACCTTCGGACAAGATGTGATCACACCTACCTTGACAGAAACTCCCACTTTGATCGATGGATGGTCTACATTGAAAAGTTGACTTGTGACATTATCCACTTCCTAATGCTGTTGCTACTCAGTCTCTATCACGCACAGCATCGACCTATACACACTCGACTGCCAATGGCAACACAAGAGCGACCACAACCGTGAACTTAATACAGCTCTCACGGTCAGCACTTAAAAGCGCGGCAGCGGCTTCACACAAAACAGCAATGAATCAACTAGGGGTATCCGTTCATCGAATTCTATCATGGCTATAATTCTGGTGGGAAGTACTATAGTTTATCTACCACTACCAAAGCACAATTCCCATTCATTAGTATATAAGACTTGATAACTCGATTCTGTGTTGGGGTATCTTTTAATAGATGAAGGTTGACATGGTCGATAACTACTTTCCTCACATTGGTGACGTGTCCATCAAAACAAGACAATAAATACATTTGGGAAAACAAAAGATGAGGGAAGGATAAAATGTTGTTCTACTGAAATAAAATAAGTGCCCTTACCTTTAAGACCTTAAAACTGTGATGAGGGAAAAAGATATGAAGTGTGGATTGCTTATAATAAACATTTAAAATAAACGATTTAAATATTTTTTGAATTATTTATTTTAGAGAATTATTTATAATAATTATTATTTTGAATCATTTTATAGAGAATTACTTTTATTTTTCAAAAAAAAAAGTTTGTTCTTTTTTCTGCCTTTTTTATTCATTATATTCAATACAAACTGAAATTGATTTTATTAATTAAAGGTATTATCACTCATAGTAACTTACTATAATTATTCCTAGCATAGAATTTTACAGTTTTCTTCTTTTTTGTCATTCTGATATCTGCTTTAATCTTATGCATAAACACTTGTCCATAACTTTATAAGCTAAAAGTATTTCATATTCGTTCTGCTTAGTATATATCAGGGATGGCCAAGCTCCATGATAGTCGAGCCATTTTTCAAAATTCGAAATTTTTTGCGAGCCGCAATTAAAACCGTAATTAAAAGGAACGCAAAAAAGGTATTAAATTTTTTTACAGAAATTATAATTATTGAAAACAGCGTATACTTGCATCAGATTAATCAATGATCCTTTAGTTGGTAAGTTTTACTTAATTCTCAATGTTTTTAGATCTGCGTGCTATGTATAATTTGTCCACGGTAAGAACTCCCCCCACCACAAAGTCTGAAGCCATCCTCTGCTATGGAAACCAGAATAGTGCAATTTAGGGAGGTTAGCTTCACTTCACTATAGGGTAGGGGTGCAAAACCTTTTGGAGTGAAGGGCCACATGCACAGCAGAACGAACAATGAAGGGCCGCATGCCAAAATACTTAGACATGTTGGCAGCAATCGTTGGTAGTAGTTGTTATCTAAACATCACTGTTCTAGGGACTGAATTCTTTTTGTCAGTTAACCTTGTAATATCTTTGCATAAAATTGAATACTTTTAAATGCTTAAACTGAGAAACTGCAAAACTGATTATTTAGAAAAAAAAGGAATCAGAAAATCAGAATCAATTTATCAGAAAAAGAATTTAGATAAATTGAAATTATTAAAAATTATGGAAAAATTCATGTTTTTTTTATCATATTACAAAATACAAAAGTCCATTTAAACATAAATTTTAACATTAAAAAATTTGTTCATAGAATTAAATTTAGGAAATAAGTATTTTTGTTATTAAAAAAATGTAAGTTAAATACTTTGATATAAAAAAAGTTTATAGGATTAAAAATGATTAAAATTAAAACAAAGCCCTTTCAGCAAAAAATAAGAATTAATGTTTAGTAGGGAATATACTTTAACTTTAAAACATTTATCTTAAATTAATCATAATCGGCAGGGGCTGAGAGAGGGAGAGGAAAGAAAGAAGAGGAAAAAAAAACATTAATTTTGAAGGAATTATTTTCCTTAATATTGAAATACTATTAAGATACTTGTTTACAACTTTTTGTGACCAATACTTTTTTGAAATGGCAGTTACTATTTACCGTTACACATATATATTTAAAATCAATTAAAATTTAAATTACTTTACGAAATTTATTTTGATTAAATTTTTTAAAGTTAAAATTTAATGATATACAAATCATTTCCCAGCATATGATATGAAATGGTCAAAGTAGGAAGAAAATAGTTTAAAAAATTTCTTAATGGTTATCCTGTAATTTGCGAAGTTTTTAAATATTGTGATAAGTTTATCTACTTGCTCATGTGATAGCTTTTTCGAGTCATTAAATAAAAATTTAAGTGATTTCGTTTAAAGACTGCTCTGTAATTTTGAACAGGCTAAATTCATTCTGGAAAACTGTCTTTCGACAGAAGCTGTTGTTGTGGGCAGTCTTGGGGCAAATAACTTCGTCAGTTCTGGAATCTGTCCCAAATGGTGTTCTTCCTTTCCTGATTTTTAAATCTCGTGAATACAAATAGTGATGTGTTATTTTCGAACTGCTTGAATACAAATTTTTGTGTGTGATTTTTAAATTGCGCAAATAAAAAAACGCGATGCGTGGTTTTCAAATAGCGTGAATACGAATAGAGATAAGTGGTTCTTAAATTGTGAGAAGACTCGCAACGTATGAATTTTATAACGCGTGAATATGAGTCGCGATATGTGGCTCTTAAATCACGTGAATATGAATGGCTGTGTATGATTTTTGAATTGCGAGAAGAACAACGTATGATTTTTTAAACGCTTGAACACGAATCACGATAAGTGATTTTAAATCTCGTGAATACGAAGCACGATGGATGATTTTCAAATCTCGTTAATACGAATTAGGATGTGCGACTTTAAAATTGCAAGAAGAATCATAACGTATGATTTTTAAAACGCATGCATTCGAATCGCGATATGTGATTTTTAAATATGACAACAAAAAGAATAGTTTGAGTGCGTGTTATTAAACTTCCACGTGATCATGGCACTAAAAAAATGTGCACATATTTTGAATTATTTCTTTGCAAGAGGTAACCGCGTTTTACATAAATTTACACATCTCTTTTTTTTTATTCTCTTCATGAAGGTGTCGATTTCGCTAAGATACGTAATTACTTTTTAAGTTACCAAAAAAAAAAAACAGAATCGAATTTCACGAGTTGTAAAATTATGTTAAAATGCCGGGATATTCTAAATCACAATAATGGGTAAGAAAAAAAAAAACACTTTCGAAGAAGCTCTTAAATTTATGTTAAAATCGGCACAAATAGAGAGCTTAAAAAGTAACTATTTTAATGCACGATTCAAAACTCGCGTGCTGTTTAACTAGCATTAAAAATATCAGACTTTTTTTTAAATCACAGGAAAAAGAGTAGCAATAACTACCAAAAAAACAATCAAAATCCTTTTATGTTCGTAATGAAATCGGCGTAAAAAAAGCGCGACAAAAAGGGAATCATTTAAATGCGGGATTCGAAATTAAAGTGTCGCTATAACGTATTAAAATATCGAGACTTTAAGAACTTCGTAGAAAAATTGTAACAATAATTGCCAAAACAACGATTGAAAAATATGATTTGAAAAAAGGATCAAAAGTCATTTAGATTTGCTATGAAGTTTTGCACAAATAAAGCGTTTACCACTTTCAAAAATCAGAAACTTCATGAAATTGGGTTGCAATAACTGTACTTAAAAGTCATTGGATTAACGACGAAATCGGCATACATCAAGATCGTCAAAAGTTATAACTAAGGCCCGGATTTTGATGACATTAGCATTTTTTTGCATTTTTGGACATTTTTTATCCTTTAGAGCATTTTTTTAGATTTATAGGGCATTTTTCATTAAATCTTTTGGCTTATTTTGCATTTTAAGACATTTTTCCAATTTTTTGTTAATTTTTTCCAATTTTTTTTATTTTTTTATCATTTTTTTATTATTACACTGGCTTCCAAACAGTGAAGAAAATCTCTAGGATATTAACAGGTGAAGCAGCATCTTTTCAAATTGAAGAAGAATTGTCAGTAAGTGAGACCGTCTTTTTCAAGTACGCACCTATAACATCAGTAGACGTTGAAAGAAGCTTCTGCAGGAATGAAAATTTACTTTCAGACAAGAGACGCTCGTTTACATTTCAAATTATCAAAAAACATTTAATAATCCAATGTAATTCTGATATTTAGTAATATTATGAGATGGAAGTTGTTATATCCATTAAAGTTTCTATACAAAATAAAAATATTTTGGTGTCAATATATTTTCCTTTTTTTGTTATTTTAGGATATAAAACATATTTTTCAAACTTTAATGAACGTAGAACAAGTATTGCATTGCTTTATATTTTTTAAATGACTCATAATAATTTTAAAGAGCAAAACATTTTTTTAATTCAATATTTTTACTTTATTTATGGCATTTTTTGCGCAATCTTTGCATTTTTAAGGGCATTTTTTGCACTTTTTAAGGGCATTTTTTGCACTTATTTAGGGCATTTTTTGCACTTTTTAAGGGCATTAATTGGGATATTTTAGGTAATCAAAATCCGGGCTCTAGTGATGACTAAAATTTGAACTCGTGTATCGTAATAATGACGTATTAAAAATGTTAGGATTTTCAAAACTATGCATAAATCCGTAGCGTTAACTAACGGAAAAAAGCGATCGAAAAGGTACATTGATTGAAATTGGATGCGCCAAAAACTTAAATGCGTAAATTTCAAATTTCTGAAGAAAAAACATTTTTTTTTAAAGAAAAAAATATTTAATTTTTTGTATTTTGTTCAGACTGCTGCCACGGGCCGCACTTTAAGGGTTGGAGGGCCGCAGGCAGAGGGTTAAAACAATAAACCTAAGAAAAAGATAAAATTCCCTATCTGTAAAATATTTAGTACTTGATGTAAAAAATTATCTTGAAATTTGTATTTCGTAAAACATACGTGGCTTTTTCCTATTAATGTTGACAACTATGTAAAGAAAAGAAATCTCATCTTTCCCCCTTCCAACAAGATAGTCTAAAATTTATCTTCTCTCCTATTAGAAAAGCAAAAAGACATAAAAACAAATCTTAAATGTTGAAAGCAAAAATATTTTAGTAGTTCAAATGATGATAAAAAGGCAATAATGGCTAGTTCTAATTTAACCAAAAAAAAATAGAGCATTGATTCTAAGTAATCAATTTAATTTTACAACAAAGTTTCAGTAATTTTTAACTTAATACTCTTATCTTAGTTTTAACTTAATACTCTTATCAGGTTTGCCACTCCATAGGGACAACAGGGAAAACCAGGAAAATACACGGAATTTAAAAATTACCTGAAATAACAGGGAAAAAAGGCAGGGGATTTTTATTTTTTCTTTACAAACTGGGAAAGGCAAGGAATTTAAGTTCTTATTTTCGTCTTTTAAAAAATGCTGCCCCCTTAAACCGTAATCCATGGGTTATTTAAATATGTTCAGCTGCTTCTTTTTTTCCTCGAAATTTTTCCCTCAATTAAAGTTAGTATCGTTAACCCAACACAGTAATTGTGTTTCCTCTTAATATATTGTGTATAATATGGATAGGGAAAGCACAAGGAATTTGTTTCCCAGATTTGAGGGACAGCCTTGTGTTACTTTTTTTATTTAATAGTAAATTTATGTATAATTTCATATTATATATCCATATAAAATATGGTATGTACTCCTCAAATTTGTATTAATTTGAATTATGAGAAAGCTAAATGTTAAAAAAAAAATTAATTAAAGCAATGAAAAAACAAAATATTATATGCCATTCTGAGTTTGAGCCCTGTTAATAGGGAAAAGTAAAGTCCTCTTATGTTAAGAAAATGAGCAGTCAAGTTTTTACCAATTTTTATTCATCAAAATTGAGAAGTTTGTCGATTAATAACGGCATCACAAAGAAACACATTCCCTATTCATCATAAACTTCACATTGTGCATCTTTCATAATAGTAGTACCTTTTTTTCAGCAAGACAGATCCAAAAAGACAATTTTGTAACATTTCTAGCGGTCAGACTGAGGGGCCATGGGACATACCAAAACCCAACAGTCCTAACTCCAACATTTTCAAAATCCAAGTGTATTTGTTGCTCCTAACCCACACTTAGGAGATTCATTATTGGCGAGTTACTGAGAAATGATTCTGCCAAAAATAAAGCCAACTAACGTTAAATTAGAAATAATCTGGCTTGAAAATTAATAACCAAAAATTTCCTTCAGAATTTAACCCCTTAATCAAAACATTTTTGTGGTAAATAAAGAAATAAAGCAGCTTAAACAAAGTTTGATTTAAAAAAAAAAGAGCTTTCGATATTCATTTTGTCGCAACATTGAATTCTAAATAGTTATACGCTTGTATTGCGCAAAGAGTTACATTTAGAGTTAAAATAAGAATATTTATTTTCGCTTTGAATGAAATTGGATAAAAATTAAACAGTTGATTTAATTTGCTTAGAATAAGATTTGGAATGATTAAACATGGTGCATAGTTTTTTTAAAAAGTGCTTAAAGGTGCTTAGTTTCAATTTTTAAAAGCCCTTAAATGTGCTTTTTTTCATTGGGTGTTTTTAAAAAGTGCTTAATTTTCCAGTTTCGAAAATAAGGTTTTAATTCGTTATTATGTCGATTTTCGCCATATATTAACAGGGGTCTGTTTAGAAGAAATATGGTTTCGTTAACGAACCCTTCACAAAATATCTTTTCATAAAAACGGACCCTTCACAAAATAATTAATCTTTTAATCGGACCCTTCACAAATTTGTTTATCTTCATTATTGTTTTGTTAATCGAATAAACACTTACCAGGAAGGGGAGGAAAGAAAGACAGATGTAAACGAACAAGTTTTGTCTTCGGCAGACGCTTCTTCCTTTATTCGTTCGAAATAAATATTCTGTGTTTAGCAGTATAGGCTAAATACCAAATATCTGTATGTTGAATCTCTAATTTAGTAGCAGCAATTGCTGTTTATCATTAAAAAAATTTTTTTTTTAATTATAGTTTTACAGTGTAGAGCATAATCTCGTATCTCTTAACAATTTAAAAACTCATTGAAAAAGTTTTTTACAATAACCAGACCCTATTTGCACAAATTCACAAAAGCCGGACCCTAAATGAAAGAATGTGACTTAACATTTATTTTATGTTCACAAATTACGAGTAATTTTTTTCACAATTTTACCAAAACGAACCTTTCACAAAATGTCTGGACAGACCCCTGATTATGCAGAAGCGTGCTTTTTACTTTGTTCTATTCAACACTTTCATATTTCATTCTACCACACTCTGTTTCGGCGAACCGTCTGTCCGTAACGTCTGATAGTGCCAATCATTTTACATGTTTTACATTATTTTATCGTGATCGTATGAAGTCTTTGCAAAGTTCTTGAAAGGTGCTTATTTTTTGCTGAAAGATTTGGCTACGCATCCTGTTAAAAAGTATCATAAATTGGTGAAATAAAGAAATTTTAAAAGCTAGGAAATATGCGTACCTTATAATAGCATGACAATATTTTTCAAAATAATAGAACTTTTTTTAATTAAATATGTTTTTGCTCATTAATTAAAATTTTTAACATCAGTGTCAGGTCAGCTAAAGTATTGCACTAAGTATAGAAGTTTTGACATTAACGATTTACCTAAGTGTTTTTAATTTTGTGTTAAAAAGCAACTTGTTTTGTGTACTTATATTGAAACTTATGTCTTTTAGTAAGTGGAACCTTGAGTAACACATTAAAGTACTGAGTTGAGATTGTGATCTAAACTGTGGGGAACCAGATGATGAAGAAGATGAATATGCAGTGAGTATTCTTACTTATCTTGGTCAAGGAATGGCCCAGAGAATTCTATTACAATTTTGTGTATTCCTTTTTGCTGCAATGATGGTGTGTGTATGAATTTTCTATGGGGGTGTCTGAACTAACAATATATATATCTATGCACATAAGTTAAAAATGTAGTGGAAATATGGAAAATATTAAAGATTAATGAAAAGAAAGGAAAAAATATTAGAATAAATTTAAAAACAAGCTTTTTAAATCTAAATTCTAAAGGAATGAATTGGTTAAGAGCCTTTTAATATTGGATGAGCATTTTGATTCTGAATTTTACGCCTGATTAATTCGAAGGATTATGAAACAAACATAGTAAAAAAATGTGAACAATCGCAAATATGAGAATTAATTTTCAAGCAATTAATAACTTTAACTTTAAGCAATTTGAATAATTAAAATAACAACATACCAAAAAATGCTTTGGTAATATATTAAAATTTTGAATTAAATAAGTATATTTAAATTTTGAAATGTAATAAACTTTAAAAAATAAATTACATTGAATTGGGAGAACACCTTTACAATGAGTGTAGTACAAAAAATTCTTTAAATCAAATAATCCCCACCCCCCAGATTCAAGTGTAGAAGAAAAAAAAATTCTTTCAAACTTGTATTTTTCGAAATCTAATAAATTAAAAATGCTTTTTCGTTCATATTTGTAAAAGGCACCAGGCTTAAATTTGCAACCAATCACTTAAATGTTTGTCCTATGTTTTTTTTAATTTGTTTTTCCTTCTCTGCTAGAACTTAATGTTATTATAAATCTATTCTCTGGATTGTGATATTTTTAAGGATAGTTTTAAGTGTTAATGAAGTTTTTATTGTTTGTAGATTATTATATTTAAATTATAAATTTTTAAATTATAATTTTCCATTAACTGTACAAAAAATAATTTACTGGTAATAAACATATTTCAATTTTACCCATTTAATTTTATGTTTATTTAAATACAAGTGGTTTTAAAACACATTAAATATATATTTAGTGTATAATAATTAAGTGTTTGTTCTGAGTCATTTTTTAAGAAATTTTTTTCATTAAAATAATCTGATCTAAACTACTTTACATTTCACCAGATATGTAATTGACAGTCTTTAAAATCCAGTAAAATGTTGAGCTACGGTTCAATGTCCTTGTATTTGGTATCATTTTGAAGGAAATTTGTTGTAATTTATGAATTCAAAAGTTATTTTTTGGATTTATGCATGATTATAGTAAAATCTATCATAAATGGAGAGCATTCATGATTTCGACTTATTCTATAAAAAAAATGTCCATTTTAAAGAAGAATAAGTTATTAAAAATATTGCGATTCTACACATAGTTTGATTTATATTGTAAAATTGTTCCTGATGTGCTAATTATGAAGTGATTTCTGTCAAAAAAAACTTTCTTGTTTTTCAAGTCATAAATTATCTGAAGTATTTATTTGCCCCCTTTGTTATAATTTTTCTTTTAAGTTTATTTCATTCATTACCACCTTTACCTTTAACTTAACCTTTTAACTTAATAACTGGTTTTTACAATAAAATCTATCAGTACAATCATGTTATATTTTAGAAGAGAAAAAAGTTTAACAATTTTAAAATAATGTCCCCTTCAACTAAATGTCCCCTCAGTTACACAAAATTGAGAGGTTGACCATTAAAAATTGACTCTAGGAATATAAACAAGTGCTAATACATCATGAGTCAACTAGTTTAAACCAGTTTTTTCACTATTAATGCACACTTTTTATACAAAACTGTGCCATTTTTTTTGATAGTGTGTTTAGTTTATAGTAAAAAGTTTTTTAAGTGAGTAATCAATATGGGAAAACAGTCGCAGAAGGAATGAGAGAATATAGAACTAGAATGTTCCAAAGAAAAAAAAAAGATATTTCTAAGAAGAAAGATAAGGAATATAAAACGAAAATTTATGATAACATAAGTATTTTGACAGAGAAATAGATAAATTGAAAAAAAGAGAAGACTTTTTTAATCAAAAACTCCGATTCTCTAAAAGTTTCAGTTTTTTTTTTAAATATTCCGTATTTTCTGAAAATTCAGTCGGTGAAATAAAATAATTATATTTAATTCCGATTTTCAAAGATAAATAGAAAATTCAAACTACGTCGTAGCTGCTAACCCTTCCTCATTTTATTTTAACTATTTTCTCTTCTTTTAACGCGCAGAAAATTAGATTTTCCGTATTTTTGCCCGCCCGCCAGACAGCTCGTGTTTTCGTAATTCAGACGTCGCTGATTCCTGTTTGCTGGCGGGAAAGCAAGCTAAATAATAAAAAAATAGCTGTGGATTTGCAGTGAAAATATTTATTTGTTCATTCAATTAATCTAATTTTTATTTATTACGGCTGAGCAAAAACAATACAAACAAGCCTTTTAGAAATCTCAAGCCCAGAATCTGCTAATATCTCGATTCTTATTCGAATATCGAACTTCGATTTTCCCATTTACTTGATTTAAAAGTTGCGCATTGAGATTCTTATTCACGCGATTTAAATTTCGTACATTGCGATTCTTATTTACAAGATTTAAAAATCCAATATCGCAATTAGTATTTTAGCGTTTTTAAAACCCTATGTAGCCATTCGTATTCACGCGAGTTTAAAATCCAATATCGTGATTCGTTTATGCGGTTGTAATATCAAGCATCGATTTTCGTATTTATACGTGATTACTATACATAATGATTCGTATTTACGCAATCTAAAAATTACCTATCATAATTTGTATTTTCAATTTTTTTTAAAAATTCGATATAGAGTTTCATAATCACGTGATTTAAAAGCCACATATCGGGATTCATATTCTCTCAAACATGCATGTGATTCATATTCATACAATTTTAAAATTAATCATCTTGATTTATAATCACATGGTTTAAAAATCGCTCTTTTTTTTTACAAATTTCTGAAAATCGTAGCTTTTACTAAATATATATACATTCTTGGACTTCCTCTTTTTTACTTTCTGTCTACTCTCATCCCTGCTTTGAGGAGAATCTTAATCTCTAAAGATTGGTGGCAATGTTCAAACCTTTTCCTACGTTATCATATAGCTACATTACTTTTTTTTGTGTCGCTTCCCTTACGAAAATTTTGGGTGAACTATTAGCAATAATTTGCAACAAAGCGTTTTGCAGCAAAATTCAAACTTGGGGTTTCGATCACAATTTTAACCAAAAGTAAATTTTGCTTAAACTTTTTAAAATTTTTTTGCTGAGCGAAATAGGACAAATTTAGTAAAAAATTGTTACCAGCCAGTGACAGTTTTTATAGGGGCCACTTTTTCAAAAATTGGAAATTTAAAACTGTTAAAATAGCTATCTACATTAGTTATGTAAAGCATTTATCAAAATATTATATGCACTGCACGATTCATTTCTAAAATGCTTTAAAAAAATTTCTATACCTTTTTAATTAATTTTGTTAAAAATTTAAGCATAGTATAAATAACGTTTTCATCTCATAAAATTTAGGGCTTAATCTTTTAAACCAGTAGATACAGTTTGTGTTAGTTCAGAATCGTAAAGTTTATTAGACACTAAGCAAAACTGATATTATTGGGACTAATATGGCGCAATATATATCATTACGTGACTTTTTTACCATCCATAAATTAAAATTTGATGTGATTTTAACGAAATTCAATTCCCCTAAAATGCTGATCTAGTGTAAAATAAAATTGTTCAGAGTTTCATTATTCAAAAAAGAAAAAAATGTTAAAAATTAATAAAAAAATTAGTGAAAAATACAAAACGAAAAAAAAATAATTCTTCATTCTTAAAAATAAACTTAAAAGCCGAAAATTTTCGAAAAAAACGAGAAAAAAAAGGGAGTCTGTAA